GGATGTGAGTATGTGTATAGAGGGTAGAGCTGCATGGATGATGTGGCGCCAGATGATCTGTGTCACATGCCAGTGAGTCCCTGACCCACCTCCCTTAGTGCCGGTGCTACTGATGGCACTTCATGAACACGCCAAGAGGAACTTGTGGGTCCCTGCTCGAGCCTCACCTTGTTCCCCCCTGCCCTCCTCCAGTGCCAGTTCCCACCTTCATTCTTGAGAGGAGGGAAGGTGTTTCAGTGAAATGACTGCAGTGCAGCAGTTGCCAGGGAGTTCATCCTGCTGTGCTGTCGGTGCCTACTCAGAGGAAAGGGTGCACTGACCCTCTGTATTACCAGGTAGGTTTGTAAACCCTCTTTCACCCTGAGCAGCCCGGTTCTCAGCCATCACTCATTCAGCCCTTCCCACCCACCCCGTGGTCTTTCCCTGTGGCTGTTACACAGGCAGAGCTGTGCTGAGGCAGACCAAAACTCTTTACCCAGCACCAGCAGGAAAAAATAGCCTGCTTATAATTCTGTGCTAGTGTCTTGCTCCAGGCAAATTGTCTCAGTTAGCCCCTTAGCTCTGTCTGTGCTTGCTACCCACAGCAAGCCTGGAGGTAGAACAGAGGTGTGAGAGCCAACACTGGCTTCCCAGCACCCTATGTGTGGGGGGTGGCAGGAGGGAGGCAGACAGGAGGGGAAACACAGCTCTTTCCTGAAGGAAGTGTCACTCCTGCCTTTCTGAATAAGCCTGTGTCTGCTACGCTTAAGGAAAAAAAAACAACCCACAGTGTAGGAAGCCTTTCTGCTCGGGTGCTCTGGGAGCAGACCCCGTGCTATGATGTCCGCCGCCATGTACTACCGTGCTCACCTCCAGGGAGATGCTGGCATGTCTCTGGCTGGCCACATAATCCAGGTTCCCCACAGCAACCATCAGGCCATGTACCACTTTCAGCTGGATCAGCTCTTCAGCCACTTCTGCTGACTCCTTGGCTAATACGCTGCAATGAGATAGGCCATCAGTCCCTACCCCCTATGGGGGAAGAAGCACACAACAAATTGGGTCTGGGCCTCTTGGTGTGACCCCAATGGAAAACAATGTGTTCCTACCCTGCCCTTAGCAGCACCAAGAGACAGGAGAGTTTCAAAATAAGCAAGAAATGTTTGGCTGTGCATGGATTAGCAATCATTTAACATGAGAACCAGTTGTTTGATGATTGGCAGGAGCTTCCTGGTGTGTATGAAAGTCTAGCGAGTTTCTTGTGTGACCATAAAGAACCCAGGACTCACACACCACCACCATTACTTCTGTGAGCAGGTCCCTGGAAGACACTCCAGTATGTCTCCCTACCCACCAGGGGTTTTCTGTCATCTGCTTTTGCAGGAAAAGTGTTCTGATAGCACTATCTTGTGGACACTGCAGGAAATTCATACTGAATGAACCAATTTTAGCACAAACAGCTGAATTTCCTTTAGGATTCTGCAGTCAATCATAGGCACTAGATTCTTCCATCGGGTGGCTGATGTTAAATAAGGGTGTTGCACTGCTCATTGTGGCTCCCAGCTATGTGGAGAATACAGTGGCCATGAGCAATACAGCACCCTTCAGCCCTGTGCTGTGGCAGGACACACACACACATTGCTTCCAGGCCGAGCCATAAAGGGGACACCGTGACAGCACACAGGGCCAGAGCAGATGGGATTCCATGTCTCCCTGTAAATAAACCTTCAAGCCAGCTCCAGTGTCAGTAGCAGGGAGGGTCTGAGCACTGCTACCTGCAGGCAGCGGCTCTGCCCCATTCCTGAACGCACCCCATCTCTGAACAGCCTGGTACTGGAGACTTGGCTGAGCTGGGGTACTCAGACAGAGAGCAGTGCCAGAGGCGAATGCTCCCTGGGAGGAACAGGTCCCAGTCCTTTCCTACCCAAAGGAAGCCACTTCTCTAAGGTCCCTTTTATGCTCCTGTGGGTTTTGCTCCACAGCTTCTTACCCAATGACTTTTGCGGCAGCTGCCTGCTGAATATACACCAGCACGGGCTCCCTCAGGCAAAGTGCGGTTGGATCTGCATGAGGAACATTAGGAAGGTGAGATGATGCTTTGAAACACTTCTAAGATGTTACAAGGGAGGGGAGGTGGGGTTACACTGCTAGCATGAAAGGAGGAGGTAGTTTTTCAGGAAACGCCTTAGGGAAACCCTGTGGCTATGTATCATACATAGTACCCGGCAAGGATCTGTGCTCAGTATGCCCACAGCTCAGAGCCTGGGCCACTGTGGCCTGCTCTGCTGAGTCAGGGGAAGTAAACACCCGGGGCTGGAACTGTTCATCATCCTCGCTCAGCGGACCTCAGCGGGTCGCTGGGGGCCTGCACGCTAGCATTAGTGCTGCAGGCAAGCAGTGCCTCGACCCGGGCAGCCCTTGCCCTGCCTCAAGGGGCAGCCCGCCGCACCTCCTCCCATACGAGTCAGGGCGACGGCTGAGCCCTGCAGGAGATGAGGGACCTTAGGAGAAACACCCCCCTGGTCGCCCTGGCAGGCCGTGGCCTGCTGTGTACTCGGAGGCCTTGGTCAGCTTTTTTACCTTTGGCGGTCTTGTTGCAGAAGGTAAATGCTTTCTTCCTGGGTGGCGTCAGTAACGCAACCAGGCCCTTCAGCAGGGCCGACCGGACCTCGTGGGCCATCAGGGCCTTCAGCAGCTGGATGGCTGGAGGAGAGGGGAGCCCCTGTCAGCACACGGACTCGAGTTCTGGATGCGTTTGTGGAGAGAGGCAGGGATTTAGGCATGCTTCTCTTGGCGAGGGCTCCAAGACCCGACTGTTGGGGACTAACGGTTCTAACGGTCAGAAAGCTCACCCTGCAGTTCGTTCTATTTTTGACCAGAAAAGGGGCAGCTCCACCGAAATGGAGCCTCAAAAAATTCCTCAACACTCGTGCTTGTTCCTCTCCACGGAAATCTTTAGTAAAAGGCGAAAGATTTATGCGATCTGAAGAGAAACCGGAGTATGACCCTGCCTCCGCCCCCGGCACACCGCCCGCCTGACCCACGCCCCACAAC